AAAATTTTACAGACATACTTATAATATAATAATGTCCTATTACCTCGTGAACTTATATTCATTAATAATTTTCTATCTTTTTTTGGCCTGATACTATCTTGTGAATCCAATATTGGTTGACTTTTTCTCAAGCTAGTGTCATGTAGGCCGAAAAGGGATAGAAAATTACTTATAAAATAAGTTCAGGAGGGTAATACAGCCTTAGGATAAATAAGTGTGTCTCTTAAATTTCGAGCATAGGTTGAGGGGATACTCGTGCATTTTTCCTTTTAATTTCTTTAAAAAAAATGACCTTTTTATTATTTTGATAACACTCTAATTTTAATTTTTCACCTGACATGTTTAAAGAAGTCATATGATTAATTCAAAATCATAACATTATAGAGTCTTTATTAGTTTGTACACTTTATCTCAAAATTAAATTAAATTGTTCTTTTTAAAACTGAGAAAGCACTACTACTACCTGACCCACCATTTCAGGTTCTTTAGAAAATTGGACAGCTACCTTTTTTTGCTTTTGCATGAAAATTGTTTATACGTCCAAATTTGCACCCCTCACTTTCACGTGCCCAGTTTTAGGCGTTATTCAACAATTCTCCTTTAAAACATACTTTCATTCTATCAAAGAATCACACTTCTCTCCACCATGAAAATCCCTCAGCTTTTATTGTGTTTTCTTCTTTTTATTTGTTCATCAAATTACGCCATAGCCAAAAAAAAATCTCATAAGCATCACCCTCTTCTTTTCCTTCCAGTATTCAAAGATGAAATTACACAACAATATGTTGCTCAAATCTACCAAAGAACCCCTCTTGTCCCTGTCAATTTAACCGTTGACCTCGGCGGACGATTTCTATGGATGGATTGTGAAAATGACTACATTAGTTCGTCTTACAAAAATGTTCCATGTGGTTCAAGACCATGCAAACTCTCAGGTTCACAAGGGTGTTATGGATCTAGTTGTCCTGTTCCTCCTAGGCCAGGGTGCAACAATTACACATGTTCACATATTCCATATAATCCAATTAAAAGATCTAGCACTGATGGTGAACTTGCTCAAGATGTTGTTGCATTATGGTCCATTACTACTACTACTAATCGTAATAATGTGTCCAAAATGATATTATCATCAACTAGTGGAGTGATGTTCAATTGTCCTGGAGATTTTTTGTTAGAAAAATTAGCCAATGGAGTTAAAGGTATGGCTGGACTTGGAATTGGTTACACTGGACTTCCTTCACAATTAGCTAGAGCTTTTCATTTACCTCGAAAATTCGCTATTTGTTTGAGTGGTAACACTAAATCAAATGGTGTTATTTTGTTTGGTGAACGACGATCCTATTATGCATCTAATGAGGTACTAACTTCTTACACTCCTCTGCTCAAAAATCCTGTTAGTACCGCGGGGGCTTATTTTCCAGGTGAGCCATCGGTTGAATATTTCATTGGAGTCGAAAAAATCTTAGTAAATGGGAAAATTGTACCCATTGATAATAAGTTACTTGCTATTAACAAGACGAATGGAGTTGGAGGAACAAAGATTAGCACTGTTGTTCCTTATGGTACAATGGAATCTTCAATTTACAAAGCGTTCAAGTATGAGTTTGTTAAAGCTATTGCTAAAGTTCCAATAGCTAAACCTGTTACTCCATTTGAGTTGTGCTTTAACTTGTCGAATTCGGATACTTTAAAAGGGCTTGTAATTCCTCAAGTTAGTCTTGTCTTGCTAGGTGAACATAATAATAGCACAACTTGGGATCTTCCTATGAACAATTTCATGGCATCTCCTACTATTAATGATAGTAGTGACTTGTTGTGTCTAGGATTTTTGGATGGTGGTGAAAATGCTGAAACATCGATTGTTCTTGGAGGGATGCAAATTGAAGAGAATTTGTTGGAATTTGATCTAGTGAAGAAAAGAATGGGATTTAAGTCTGTGTATATGTCATCTGATTTAGTCAGTTGCAGCAACAAATTCAGATAAAATTGTTGTGATGTTACATGATTTTGTACTAAGGCTAGAATGCAAAAAGTAATATACTTTACTTTATGTAGACAAATACTTATTGCGTGTTACATATGTTCATCTTTTTGTTGATAATCACTTTAGTGTATATTGAAGACTGGAGGATATACACAGGCCCAAATACTCCATCATTCTATATTAATTAGATCACTTTAGTGTATATTGAAGACGGGAGGATACACATAAGCCCAAATACTCGAGCATTATATATTAATTAGAGAAAAATGATAAATATACTTCTGAACTATTGTAAATGGTGTGCAAATTATTTCATCATATTTTTGAGACATTGGTGTATCTATCGTCCAAAAAATTGTAGAGCATATACAATATATCTTTTACTCTAAAAGAAGACTAAATAGGGACACGTAGCGCAATCTTATATGTCGATAAATATAAGTTTTATTGATGAATACATTTATCATATAGTTCAATATACCGTGTCAATTTATTACCAAATAAGTATAATGTATTTTAAAATAGTTATACTTATAAGTTATAATACATAAATATTGCATACATAATTCACTTTTAATACATATTATAGATTTATCATAGTATTGCTTATGTATTACTAATTTAATATAAATAAAAGATTCGCTAAAATAGATAATTATTTATTGAATAATACCCATTCAAATAATCTTTCCTTTATTATTGGACTGTCTAATTCTTGGGCCTCTTGGTGGTTTAGCCCCAAACCCAATAGCTTGGCCAGTCTCTGGGCTATCCGTGTTCACAATACTATTGCTCTTTTTTTTTTTTTTATCTTTTTTGAAAAATTTTGCGCAAACTTATACTACTTAATTACTCATGATAGTTATAGTTTGTTATGATTGTCAGTCACAGCTAACATTATACATTAATTAGGTGGGTTAACTTCGAGTTTGTATAATTAGTCACATTTGTATATGTATAATTCGTCAGAATATACAAATACATATGTATAATATATAATTATTTAATCAATATACATATACAATGCACCTCTCTCCTACTCTCCTACCTCTCTCAGTCTCGCTCGTCTCTCTCCTCTCTCCCAATCTTGCCTGGTTATTATACAAATGCATATGTATAATATACAATTATCCAACCAATATACATATACAATTCATCTCTCTCCCACTCGCTGCCCTCTCTCGCTCGCCTATCTCCCAATCTCTCTCTCCCGATCTCGCTTGTCATATATATAAATACATATGTATAATAGAGTTCTAATACACGTACAAGAATTGGAAGATTCACTATGGCACGTACACAATATATTTTCTTTTCACTGAATTGTTTTTTTCTTCCTCTTTAAATGAATCATTTCTTTTATTTTCATGTATAATTAATAATTAAAAAATCAAATCAGATTAATGACAATCAAATCGATATATTCTATATTTGATTTGATTCTAATAATTTAAAAACTGATAAAATTAATTTGATTTTAATCTTAACTATTAATAGATCCGTGCACACCCCCTTGTAATGTTTATCGTATATGTGTTGTTTTTGGGGTGACTGTTTAGTGTATATGTTAGTTAATTTTGCATCCAAGTGATATGTAAGTCGAAAAGCAGTAGAAAATTACTTATAAAATAAATACAGAAAAATAATAAAACCTTAATATAATATAAGTGTATCTCAGAAATTTTGGACATAAATTAAAAAAATACTCGTACATTTTCCTAATAAAGTAGGAAAAATTGTAAACAAATAGCGACTGCCGTCCTCAGTATAATTAAGTGGCAACTAGTTAAGATTCTAATTAGTTTCTTGCAAGGGGAATCATTAAAATTTATTAAAAGGGAGACACATTGCCAACATCTTGGTGTTTTTAATGTATTAGAAAAGCTATATAATTTATTGACACATGCAATGAATTCATTAATTAATACAACCACCGTGAATTCATTGGGACAATATTATATGCAATTGGCAGAATAAATTATTAAATAAATTAATGATTAAGTGATAAATACTGCTCTTTGTTCTATTTCAAATTCAAGATTTGAAAGTAGCGTTATTTTTAATCGTAAGTGTTTTATCTTCAATGATTTTTTTTTAAATTATGAAATCAGATGAGTATATTATTATTGTTGTATTTGAATTCCAAAAAAAATAAGGAATGGGAAATCCAATAATAGAGAATTTGAAAATTATTTAATTGTAATTTGTATGGGAAACAAAGTTTCCTCTTTGTAAGTGAACGAAAGTTTGAATTTTTTTAAAAAAAACATAAAATAATTTTAAGGATATTATGAACAATCGACCCGTCATTTAAGGCCTATGATAATTCTTTTTTTTTTCTTTTTTTTCATTTTCCATAAATTTACTTCTTATTATTTTTATAATTCAGGGAATCTATGCTTAGATCTTTACATGTCAGTCTAACTAAAGCAATTTTGTCGTTAATCATTTCCTTTTTTTTTTCTCTCTTACCTACTTCTTCAGCAAAAAAAAATTGGAAAAAAAAATTGGTTCTACCTACAACTTCTCTAAAAAACATGGACATAGACAGGTAGGCTTCCCACTTTCATGTGTCTTTTGGCAAGTTTTTAATTTCTTGAAATTTTTTTTTGTAATGTTGTGATTTTTAAAAGTTAATTTAATTAATTTTTTAATATTAAATTAGATTACATTAATTCATTATTTAAAATAAAAGATTTAGATATTCAAAAATTATCGAAAATTTATTTGTAATGTTGTGATTTTTAAAAGTTAATTTAATTAATTTTTTAATATTAAATTAGATTACATTAATTCGTTATTTAAAATAAAAAATTTAGATATTCAAAAATTATATGAAAAGTATTATAAAGTGCAATTTTTTGCATATCAATATGATGAAAAAATACATCTTAAAATGTTAGTCAAAGTTTTTATAGTTTAATTTTAAAAATAGAAATCATAGTGGACGGAGAGAGTATTTAGGGTTAAACTAACGTAGACCTTGGTGGACGTTTCCTATGGGTGGATTGTCAAAATGGCTATGTTAGTTCAACCCTAACACCTCTCCTTTGTGACACTATGTTTTGTAGACTATCACATTCTGGAGCATGTAATGGTAATTGTACGGGCTCATCACCCGGACATCCTAATAAAGATTGTACTTGCTCACATCTTTCATACAATCCTGTTTCTCGTACCAGCACAGGTACCGGGCTTAATGAGGATGTTATTACCATCCAGGATACGGAAGGGCTCAAGCCCGGCCCATATCTAAAGCCCGGTAAGATTGTGTTTGGTTGCGCGGACACTCCGTTTAGCTAATGGGGTTAAGGGAATAGCTATGTAGCCATTCCAACTCAATTAACTTATCGTTTCTCTAGACCTAGGCTCTTCGACAAATTCTCCTGGAGTTATATTTATTGGTGAAGGTCCATATGTATTACTTCCTAACATTGATGTGTCTAAAAACCTCTTTTACACACCTCTTCTAACAAACCCGATTAGTACTGCTGGATCATCGTTTGGGGGTGAGCCATCGACGGATTATTTTATTGGAGTAAAAACTATTAAAGTTAACGGTGATTTGATCCCTATAAATAACTTATTATTAGAAATAAACGAAGAAAATGGAGAAGGGGGTACAAAGATTAGTACAATTGATCCATATACTAAGTTGGAGAGTTCAATTTACAAGGCATTTGTACACTCACTAACTATACCTAGAGTTAAAAAAGTTGCACCATTTGAGATGTGTTACAAAAGTAGTAGTTTACCTAGTACTAGAGTTGGCCCTGGTGTTCCAAATATTGAATTTGTTTTACAAGGTAAAAATGGCGAGACACCTTCGTTTATTATATCTGGAGCTAACTCAATGGTGGCCGTTACAGATGAAGTGCTTTGCTTAGGATTTGTAAATGGTGGAGAAAATCCAACCACATCGATAGTGATAGGAGGACATCAAATTGAAGATAATTTGGTACAAATTGACATTGATAACAAGAGGGTTGGTTTCAGTAATTCACTTTTGTACCAGCAAACTACGTGTGCCAATTTTAATTTTGGGTCGACTCAAGGACGGGAGATAGTGTAAAACGTTGTGTTATTAATTTGTTGTGTGGTGTGTTTGGACATTTTTTGTCCAAGTCAATGATGTTTTTTTAAGGTTTATGATCTACTATTATGATCAGAGTCAGTGATGTTTTTTAAGGTTTATGATCAGAGTTGAGAACTAATAAAAAGTGGTATAAAATGGACATTAAAAACTTGTCATATAACATAGGGGATCGAAGACTCTCACAGCTATGATCAAACACAATTTCTAAGTTAAAAGATAAGTTTTTTATGCTATGCTCAAACACAATTTTCAGCTTGACTTCCACACTACAATACAATCATTAACAAAACCTTTTTTCGATCATGCAATTGAGTTAAAGACATAAAACCTGGATAACCCCAAGAAAACATAGCTTATTGCATCCACCATTTATTATTTACCTTCACTTTCTTATGCTGATCGAAATCCTTATTAAATTCATCCTTCTGCTACAATATTTACAAGTTCAAATAATTATAAAACTTCCAATTCATCCTTCTGCTACAATTTGTCAATAAATTAACAAATTCTACACAAAAACATGTATTGTCACTATAAAAAAATCAACTTTTAGCGGTATTAAATATTGATACTAATAAAGAGTACTAAAGTCTTTACCGGCATTAGTTAACTGTCATTAGAACCAACGTCGCTAAAGACTTTAGGGATATATACAAAAAGTGACAATTATTGCCACTAAAAATACATATTTAGCGATATTTAATTCTTAAATGCCGCTAATAGTCATTTTTGTTGTAGTGCGTTTATACTGCTCTAGATCACAAAAAAAAGGAGGAGAGAAAATGATAATTATTTGATCGTTCTTTTATACTCTTTTTCTAGCGATTTAAGAAGTAAAGTTGCTAATATATCTTATTCAATTGATAATAATCAACCAGATAAATCTTTCTTTAACGCATAGTACTTTAGTTGCTTAAACTTTTCCTAGTATTTTTTTTTTATATATTAAAATAGTATACAATAATTTTTTCTAAAAAAAACTCTATAACCTATTTTAATGGGGAAAATGTGGTTGCAAATTTTGGGGCCTAACAACTTGGCTTTGTCCTAACTCATTAGAGCCGCTCCTGGTGGTAGCTAATGTGGTGGACAACAGTGATGATAGTGAATGATAACGTTATATAATGGTGGTTGATAGTGATAATTATTCGTGGTGATTGATGACTACATTATTGATAATTGCTAATGATGATTATAAAGTGATAACTAACGATGACGATAGTTTACTATATAGAGAGAACTACAAACTTTGTAAGGATCGTTGAATAAATATATATTATAAATTCATAAAATAAATACACTTCGATACTTAAGATTCAAATCTAAGATTTGTTAGCTAAAATTTAAATAAATAAAATTAAGATTTTTATTTAGTACAAACAAATGAAATTTTAGATGACTTAATTTGGAATATAGAGAGTACTAGAGGTCATTCTTTATACAAAAATTAGTATCAAGTATGTAAAAACAAAGTTATGAAACATTATGAGAAGATAAATTGAGCTAATAAAAATGAGTTTAACTACTATCCACCGACGGTGGACAAAAAATTACACGGGCATATTATTTTTGGAAATATTTAATTTTTTTAATTAATATATTTTAATATTATTAATATTAGAATAAAAATAATAACAGAGTGTTATATGGTAACTTGAATTATAAATTAATTGTACAAATTTAATTAGGATTCTTATTTGTCTTACCAAAAATAAAAAATACATAATTTCTTGTGTTTTCTTATTGGAAAGCACTTCAATCCTTCAAAGAAAATCATTGCCAACATATTAATTTTTTTTTATAAGAACCGGTACTTGTTGCCATTGAAGCAATGCTAGCAAAATATTAATATGAAACTATTCCAGAAACATAAAGTGCAACAAAATCAACATATTCAAACTTATAAGAGTAAGCAAACAAAATCAAACACTATTAAATACGGCCCATGATTTAATCACAATTGCATGCTTGGTTACATTTTTTTAAACGAAATCCTTCTTTTGAACAAACAAACTCTTGACCAATAATGGATTTATCTTTTCTTGATCTACTAATTCGATTTTTGCGCACACTAAAACCATTACGATGAGCATAATCAAGATAAAATTTAAATCCAGTATCAAGTGATTGAAATTCCATACCGATGTAAGGCTCTCTTAATTCTTGCTCACCTAGTTGAGGAACAAAAGATACAACTGCATTCATGTTGCTTTCTATATCCTCCAAGGAATCTTCAATTTCTTCTGCATTTTGCTCTTCTAAATTAGAGATTTCAAAAGTTTCCTGCAATACACAATTATTAGATATTAGACTGATAGGGTAAGTTAGCTTTAAAATTTTAAATATTTTTCATGGCTAATGTATTGAACTTCTTCAATTTGCTAAAAAGTTCTTAAACGTATTCTTTAAATATCTTCATCACTACAAAACATAAATTTCTTCATACATTAAAACAAGAATATTTCTTTGAAACGTTTATTCATGTTGCGAAAAAGACTTAATAAGTTATGTAAAAAAAGATATACGAGGAAAACGCTACCATGATAATTGTTTCAAATTGCTTTAATGGTGGATAGTTGGTTGCTTCAATGGTTTATGTAGAAAAAGAAGAACGTTAATCCAACTAAGAAAACACAAGAAATTATGTATTTTTTATTTTTGGTAAGACAAATAAGAATCCTAATTAAATTTGTACAATTAATTTATAATTCAAGTTATCATATAACACTATGTTATTATTTTTATTTTAATATTAATAATATTAAAATATATTAATTAAAAAAATTAAATATTTCCAAAAATAAAATGCCCGTGTAATTTTTTTATCCACCGTCGGTGGATAGTAGTTAAACTCAATAAAAATAAGCCAACTAGGAGACATGCATATTATAAAATATGACTTCATCATTGTAAATTATGCATTGGATGCTGTCTTATAAAGATTGTCCATTGTTTAGTGGTTGGTTGCTAAATACCTAAAAGATTTCCACCTACTACTGTTTTCCTTTCTAATTTTAGAACTTTGTATCATTACAAGTGGCTTATAATTTTAATGTATTTGCGATTAAATCTATTTGTTTGTATCCTTTATATATATATCTCTTTCCACTCTGGTGTGCTTTAATTTCTATTTGAATAGGAATCACAAGTCATCGTGAAGTCTGTAGTTGTCTAGATCTACTTTAATCAATACACACATGTACACTGGATTTATATGCGACAAGAGAATTGTTTATATATTATATTTCTGAAAGGTCTGGTAGTTGCAATTTATCTACTGATTAATTAGAATTCACATGTGATACACTAAAAAAAAGTGTGTATATAAATATATATATGTATATCCTTTATTAACTAAAATTTGAATTCAAAAAAATCTTTAATCAGTGATAAAAAAATATTGTTACAATATTTATTAGAGATTGTGATAACATATATTCTAAATTTACCTTGATAGACGAGCCAACTCTTGAGCACATAATTTTTTAAAATAAAGTAGATGATAACGAATAAAACACGAATATCTCAAACAACACTTTCATAAATAAGAAAACATTAATGTGTAAATGAAACCAATTTTCAGACATGTACAAGAGTGTCTAATACAAAGAAAAAAATCTAATAAAATACGAGACATTATTGTTTGAACATAAAAAAAATAGTACATTACTAAAAGTATAGTGTACTTTTAGTAATACACTATACCCACTCAATATTCATCATTCCTTCGATTCTCTATATGTCCACTTGTATAGACTTATAAACAAATGAGTAATAAAACCATTTCTGCTTTCCTCTGCCCCTTTCCAAATAAAAATAATTCTTCGGTCAGAAACACTTTATCTTACAAAGTAAAATTTTCGACATAAATTCAGATTAATCCGACCAAAACAGTTACCTAACGGCTCCAAAAAAAAAATTTAAAATTAAACAAGCTTCACATCACTATAAATCAAGATGCTACATCTCCAAATTCTACTCACTCTATCCAAACTTAACAATGGTTTCCAAAATAATTTCTCTATCCTTTTTTTTTCCTTTGCTCCTCTTGTTCTCCCTCTCCTCAGCCAAAACACCTTCGAAACCTCGAGCTTTTCTTCTTCCTATAACCAAAGATGAAGCCACTAAACAATTTATCACAACCATATACCAAAGAATACCCCTTGTCCCAGCCAAACTTACTATCGATCTTGGTCAACGATTTTTATGGGTTGATTGTGATATAGGTTATGTTAGTTCATCTTATAAACCTGTCCCTTGTGGTTCTATCCCTTGTAAACGTTCTTTCTCCGGTGCATGTGTTGAATCATGTGTAGGTTCTCCTTCACCAGGATGCAACAATAACACTTGTGGACAAAGTATTTATAACCCCTTTATTCGTACTAGCACGAGTGGTGAACTTGCTCAAGATGTTGTCTCACTTCAATCAACCGATGGCTCGAAACCTCGTAAATACTTATCAACAACAAATGGAGTAGTTTTTGGATGTGGTTCTACTTTTCTCCTTGAGAAACTAGCAAAAGGTGTTAATGGCATTCTTGGACTTGGAAATGGTTATGTAGGGTTTCCTACTCAATTAGCTAATGCTTTTACTATACCTCGAAAATTCGCTATATGTTTGACTTCATCCACAACCTCTCGTGGTGTTATCTTCTTTGGTGATAGTCCTTATGTTTTTCTTCCTGGAATGGATGTCTCAAAAAGACTTGTTTACACTCCACTACTCAATAACCCTGTTAGTACATCAGGGTCATATTTTGTAGGGGAGCCCTCAGTGGAGTATTTCATTGGAGTAACATCTATTAAAATAAATGGTAACGTCGTGCCAATAAACACCACATTGTTGGACATAACTAAAGATGGCAAAGGCGGAACAAAAATTAGTACGGTTGATCCTTACACAAAATTAGAGACTTCGATTTACAATGCTTTAACAAAGGCATTTGTTAAATCGCTGTCTAAGGTTCCAAGGGTGAAACCATTGGCTCCATTTGAAGTGTGTTATAATAGGAGTAGTTTGGGTAGTACTCGTGTTGGCCCTGGTGTTCCACCTATTGAACTAGTGTTGGGAACTACATCTTGGAATATTTGGGGTTCGAATTCAATGGTGGCGGTGAATGATGACGTGCTTTGTCTTGGATTTGTGGATGGAGGAGTTGAATTTGAACCAACAACTTCTATAGTCATTGGAGCACATCAAATTGAAGACAATTTTTTGCAATTTGACATTGCGAACAAAAGGTTGGGTTTTACTTCATCACTTTTGTTTAGTCAAACAACATGTGCCAACTTCAATTTTACATCCAAAGCTTGATGGTTTTTAATCTGAATATCAGATTCAGATGAAGGAACAGTTGTAGTAGTAATTAATTTGTTTTATTTTCCATG